GGGGGGGCGCCCGGCCGGGGGGGGGGGGGGGGGGGGGCCCCCCGAGAGCCCCTGCCCCGCCGACAGCCCCGGGAGGGTGGAAATAACAAACAAACAAGGAAAGATGTGAAGCTGCCGGTGGGAGAGAGGAAGGGGGGGGCAGCTGCGGGATGAAGCCGCAGACACCGCAACCGGGCTCTGCCCAATTCTTACGGTTGTTTTTTTTTTTTTCCTCCTTAAGGCTTCCCTGGTTGCGTTTTAATATTTGAATTTCTCCCAGTCCTCTCCTTCCCCGCCTCGTTCTCTTTACCTATTTATCGAAGGAAAATTTAATTTAAAAAAATATAAAAAGCGGTGAAAATAAAAAAGAAACTATAGCGCGATTTCTCCTGCCGTAATGGTGGGAGACAAAAATTCTCGCGCTAAAAAAGTCCTTTCGAGTGTGTTCGGGGAAGGTGTTTTCCTAATTTCTGTTTTACCCTGTCACCCAGGGAATGAAACCAGCCCGGAGAGCTTCCTATTGCACAATGCACTGGCCAGGAAACCCAAACGGATCCGTACAGCTTTCTCCCCATCCCAATTACTGAGACTGGAACATGCCTTCGAGAAGAACCATTATGTAGTAGGAGCGGAGAGAAAGCAGCTGGCACACAGCCTCAGCCTCACGGAAACTCAGGTAGGGGGAAAGCCGGGAGTGGGCAACTGGGAAAGTGAAAGTAGTGGAGTCTATTTGGGAAAACCCACCTGGAGACGTGCGGAAAAAAAAAGAAAAAAATAAGGGTAAATTCTGTGGGCATTTAGGCCTCCAGCCCCGAGTGGGTAGAGCGGAGAGAGGGGTGTCGGTGTCCCCCCCCGTCGCATGGGTGTTACAAACCCCTCTCCTGTCGGGGAGAGGGGATGGCGAGGACGCGGGGGGATGTGGGGAGCCCTTGGGGGGGGAGCTCGGGACACGGTTTGGGGTCTCCCCGGGGGGACCCGGCCGGAGACACGGCCCGAGCGGGGAGAAGAGCGGCGGGATCTGCCGGTTGAGCGTAACGGCGGCCCCGGTCATTTCTCCGTGAGACTGGGGTCAGCCGCAAGAAGTAGTTGAATGTTTAAGGAAAAAGCCCCCAAAACAAAAAGCGGAGGGGACACCCCCTTTTCCTTTGCCCCCCACCCCGAGACAGAAATACACTTTCTCGGGTGATTTTTCACTCGTTTTTCTAACCCCGCGTCCGGCGGCGGGGGTACGAGCAGCCGGTCGAGGAGGGCATAAAGGTGAAAAATAAAAGCGGAGAAATTAGTAACTCTAAGGAACCCCCCCTCCTCACCTTACCTCACCCCCACACACCCCCCCCGCTGGCTGGCTGTAGGCCAGACCCGCACCGGAGACTATTTCGGCGGCCGTCTATTTGGAAGGGACGATTAAGCGACGTTTCTGCTCCGGTTGTCCCGGGGAGAGGGGCTCGGAGGGGACACGGACACCCGTGGG